GAGATAGTTCAGTTCAAATCCACTGCAGCGATGCGCCGTCCACCCGGGCGCGCGGCGTGACGGCCTTTCGCGCGATAAATAGCGATATCGTGTGGACGAGCGTCTTGTGCATCAGCGCCGCCAGGAGCGTGGCGGCGTGCTTGCACCCTGGCAGGAATCCCTTCCTCACAGTCACCATCGTTCCACTGCTGCCGCAGGCCTTCAGTACCCGTGGCATACAGCCATAGGACACACATTGCCACGACAGTCTGAGAGGATGGTTGACCGCTCGAGCCTTCTCGGACAACAGCTGGAGATTTCCACGTGCCCACCATTTCCCACATTTCCACTGGATGAGAAGCCGGCGCGATTGCCCCAGATCATGTCCGATGGGTGCGCTGTAATTTGCCTCCTGGAAAGGGACGCCTCGCTCTCGCCCACGCATGGAGACGGGTGTTGGTGAGCGCCACCTGTCCAGCGCCTCCAGTACTGTCGGATTCCAGACCATGTCGGCATGCTTGCGACCTTTCGCTCACGGCAGCAGCTTCTCGCACTTCATGAAGATGCTCGCCATGGCCTCCTGCCCTTGGCTGGACAAGAACCATAGTGATCGCGGCGGCACGCGGCTGTGACAGGCCGCCGTCGTCCAAATTGCATGCAAGATCGCGGCCTCCATCATCTCCATCGTGATGCGGGGGAGCCCTGGCCAATTCGCATAATCGGCGGGGAGAGCGAAAACGTCTGCACCGTGACAGCGCCAAGCCTTCTTCCAGGACTCACCTCTGTGTCGGCCAACTCGTGCGGCGACTGCTCCACGCCATCCTCCAGGATCTCCTGCGCAGCCCGACTGGCTCCCTTGGCTGTCGTCTGGTCGACCCGACCGTTTTCTTTCTGCAGCCTGTCACACTCAACCAAAACCTTCTGCACCAGCGAGGCAATGCCTGGGCCCGCAAGGATTGCAAACCCCGACCTACCTCGCAAGAAGAAGCCAGCCCCCCAAACAGGCACATATGTTATCCTTGATCGCCTCACGCTGGCGAAGAACAAAGATGACATCGGCGCTGGCGGTGCCAAGCGGCTGAAGGTCAGCATGGACATTTACCGTTTCCAGGGCACCCTCTCTCGTCATGATGGAGGAGGGGGGAGGGGAATTGGAGAAGGAGTGAGCAGAAGGGGGAGGAGAGGAGGAAGAGGAGCTTGCAGTGATATGGTGCAGGGGGGCCTTTGCCCCATGGGTTGGGGCCAGAAACCTTGCGCACCACTTTTTTTTGTTTGCGCAAGCCGAGGACGGAACACGCTTAGCCTCTAGTCGTGCGGCGATTCAGCTTCAACCGAATCCATGATGGTGCAGCCAGGGTGATCAAATTCGAAGACTCTTGTAGTTTCAAGCCCGACCGTGGAAGAGGGAGGGTCTCCCAATATTCTGTCTTGCCGCCGCTGAGACTGGGCCCCCGCTGGAGCTCGCTGGGATCTCTCCCGCAAAAACCACGCGCCCCACACTGTCCCAGATTCCGTCGTGATCTTTGTCCGGGGGCGGCAAAGAGGGGGGGATGACTAGGGGGGGTTGGATATCATGCCGGGGGCCATAATCCCCTCCAGATTTCATGGCGACCCTTTTTATTATTTCAATACGTCCCTGCCCCCCACCCCCCGGCCCCAACCCCTGGGACCCGGAGGGTGGGTTTCTAAGAAGGCGGGGGGGTTCTGAGAAGGCAGGGGGGCTCCTGAGAAGCCGGCCCGGCGTCCAAGAAATACCAGTTCGGAAGCCTTCTGGATTTCGAATAAGGCCGGCGCCTCCTACGAAGCCCACCCACTTCGCTGGTTCGCAGCCCAAGCCCCTCGAGCCCTCGCGTCACTCCCTTGCGTGCGCCGCCAACTTTGCTCTTTGGGCTCGCTGGTCTGTGAAGGCGCATCGGGAGGCCCCAAACTCGCAGACATCGGGGCCGTCGTGCATCTTCTCGGGGCGCAGGAGGTCTACGCAAAGTCCGCTCGGAGCCTCTCCCTGAACCACCAGGACAGTCCATTCTGGCGCGTGTCTCGAGCTCCGCCTGGCCGTGGCAACGAGGGCTCCCTCGAAGATCCAACAGGAAAGACGAGGAGGTCGATCCGCTCAGAGCTGGCCCCCCCCCCCGACCCCTCCTGGGGTCACTGCCGTCATGTCCCCCGAGCCAAGCGGCGATGAGAGCCTCCAGGAGAGGTTCAATCACCAAGCGCGTTCCACCAAGCGCGTTCCACTACGTGCAAAGTGCCTCCTACTCGCAAACGTACGAAAAAAAAAACATAGGGTCGCTTTGATGAGATGTATCGTAGATCCCTGGCGGCGGATCCAGGCCATTTGCGAGTAGTTACTTTGCGAGTAGCGGAACGCGCTTGCCTATGAAAGACTTTCGAAACGACGGCGGCCTTCACAGAAATGACGTCGGCGACGACGTCGACCCGGCGCGGGCCAAGGCCTCGGAGCCCACGCGCTTCACCTCAGCGTGGACCCCGCGTGGGCATCCGCCGCATCCGCGCGTTTTACCCCGCCGAGAGCAGCACGAGCCATGACCTCCGCATACTTATATAGCTCGTCAATGCCCGCGGCGGAGACAAGGCGCGCGCGCTCGCGCGCGCGCTGGTCAGCCTTTGCAGGTCCGAAGCTCGTCAGCTGGGGGGGAGCATCTGTATCATGTGTCAGTGTCGTGCTGCCGTTGGGTGTCTGCCAGCGTGCTACTCCTCCGTGTTTCTTCAGAAGTCAGTGGAAACCCATACCAAGAAACATCCTGGAACTCCAGGCCAAGAAACACCTTGGGTTTCGATGGTTCTGCTATGGAAAGCGTGACGCTCCGCGCGCCAGAAAACAAGGGCCGCCCTGGGGTCTCCGGGTTGGGCTTCTCTTTGTCAGGGGTTCTCGTGGTCGAGCTCTTACTGTAACGCGCTGGTTGGTTTCCCACGGCGGCGTGCTATCGATGCTGTTCTTGCTCCCCCGGTCCGCCCCACGGCGGCGAGGCGAGGGCGCGCGCGCGCCAGTCGGGCCTCTGCCGGTCCGAGTTCGCCAGCTCTTTTGGGGTCTTCGGTGGCTTCGGGCCCCCATGGGAGTGGAGCGCCGCGACCGTCGCACACTTCGAGGTTTCTGATAAGCAGCCGTCGTTTCAGCGGCGAGCGAGGGGGGAAAGGAGGAGGAGAAGGTCCTCTCAGAAGGCGGCGGGTCTTCTCAGAAGCCCTCGCGCCCTCTGACAGGTCTTCTGTGTCTTCGGGGAAGGCTTGGGAAACTTCTCAGCAGGCCTGGGGACGTCCGAGCCTTCTGAGAAGGCCCGCCCCTTCTCACTTCCCCCCCGGGCTCGCCGCCGAGATACGCAGCCGTCGGTATACCCCGACGGCAGCCCAAAATCGACCCCTGTCGCGGGCAACCGCCTTGCGCCGAGAGCGCCTTGCGCCGAGAGCGCCTGCGCGGTGTACCGACATGGCGAGATTGACGTCCGGCGGGGGGCGGGGCGACCCGTCGTCTTGGCCCAGACTCCAGACCACAGGGCCCTCGCTGATCGCCCTGACTCGAGAATTGAGACCGATTCGAAGGCTCTGGCCGTGATGCTTTGTGGCTCGCCGAGCGCGTTCCACTACTTGCAAAGTGCCTACTCGCAAGCGGCCCTAAAAACAAACGTCTGCCTTGACGTAATGGATCGCAAGCCCCCCTCGGCGGATCCTGGCCATTTGGGAGTAGTTGCTTTGCGAGCAGCGGAACGCGCTTGCAGAGTGGCGTTGTTTTATTTTCTCGGTCGGATCTCAGGGTCTGGAAGTCTCTTGAGGCTTCGGTGGCGGTGTCGTGGAGGCCTTCGGCCCCGCCGGAGTGTCTTCGGCAGCCCGGCCGAGCCTCGCCTCGCCGAGAGCCTTCTATGTCAGGGGCAGCGCTAGGAGGGGGATAGGCACAGGGGGGGATGCATCGACCCCCAATCGCCCATGGATCGCCGATAGGGGCCCGATAGCCCCACCCCGCCCAGGAAGGTGCGGATTCACTATTGGGGTCCTATCGCCGATCTATCGGCGACGTATCGCCGATTCCAGGTCGATGCATCCCCCCCTATGCCTATCCCCCCTATCGTTGCCCCTCACTATGGGGGCCCCCAGGATCGCCGTTTGGGGGCCCGAGTTCCGGCACGGAAGCCAGCCAGTGAAGGGGCGTGCCAGCCTGTTGGGTTGACTAAGAGAGGCAGCGTCCGAGGCTTGAGAACGGTTTCGAAGGTGTCCTGATGTCTTCGCAGTCGTGTTGCTGACGAGCTCTGATGCTTCCAGAAGTTTCCGGAGACTTCCGACGCAGCTCGAGAAGCCCGCCAGGACAGTGCCCGGGAGAGGTCCGTGGGCAGTTTGTTGGCGGAACGTTTTGTCGGAGGGACTTCAGACTTCTGGGTTCCGTTAGAGGGGCCCGACGGGGGTTCTTGCCCGTGCCATGCCCCACGAGCACGGATCGGCCCAGCTCGAACAAGCATGTCTGAAGATATGTGTATTGGGTCGCGAATCTCCGACGAAGATGACGTGTTTTTTTTGTTTCCACGTCTGCCGCGTGGTGAGCCGATACGCGCAATAGATTTGACCCCCCCCCCGGGTGCCTCTGAGGATGTTTGCCCTCCCCCCCCCCATATCTTCTTGGAGGGTTTAATCGGTGGTGGGGGTTCTCGACACCCGTCCGCCGAAATCCGCCGCCTTGAACACTTGAATGTCAATGAAGTGGACGAGTTAATGCAGGAGCTCCCGTCCCCATTCGTGTGCTTCGTTGTTCGATCCGTGAGGAGAAGTTGAGGATGGCGACTGAAATTCGCTGGCGTGTCCATCGTGCCCGACGGACATTTTGTTGAGGGAGGAATGGTGGCGGTATCGTGATTCAGGATGGAGGACACGAGGGGGCAACGGGGGCGAGGGGGAATGATGGAACAGGTTGTGGCCAGTTCAGCTAAATCATATCCATTTGACTCGTATGCTACACATCTGTGTTCGCACGTGTGCTTGTGCACACCCGCTGTCGTGCTGTGTCAGGCACCTTCTGATACCATGTCTTGCGAAGAAGTTCTCCCTTTTTCGCTACCTTCCGTCTCTGACGCGTCAGTGGTAGCGGAGCGTCCGCTTGCTCCACCAGGCCTCCAGTTCCCGCCGCCATGCCGGCGGACTGCAGTTGCGAGAAAGCTAAGGACGGCGGCAACGCGATGACGATGGAGACGAAGGGCCGAGAGGCCCAAGATGCAGTGGCGCCGAACGCCACAGGAGGTTCAACAAAACAGCAGATGCGCGAGTTGTCCCAGATGTTCCGGGAACACATCGGCGAGGCCGTCAAGCAGGCCGTGAGCGCAGGATCAAAAGGTGCGATTCGACACGCTCTTGGCGCAGCAGCAGACAGCGAGGCCTCCGACCCGTGGGAGAAGATAGACCGGTGGTCGAGGCGAGTGCTGGGGAGACAGTGCGCGATAGGAACCGGGAGGCTGGCGGACCGCTTCCTGCGACGCGTGGTGGGGCTCCTCGGCTCACGCGGATTGGAGCCAGATTGACAGCAGGTTGGGCGCCAACGCCGACTGGGCGAAGAGCTCCGACGACAAGACGTGGAATGCCGGTCCTGACTGGGCGGGCGGCTCGTGGGGCCAAGGATCATGGGAGCGGCCGGACATGTCCGACCCAGATCCTTGGCTCGGGTGGGGCGAGCGTCTTTTCTGGCGAAGAGATATCCAGCGAAGGCTTGCAGGCGCAGGGGTCATGGTGGGTCGCCGCTCGGACCGCATACTCAAGATAATTGAGCTCGGACTGAGGAAAAAGTTCGAGGATATCCCGGATTCGGTTTTCGTCTCGGCGGCAGAGCCCGGACCCCGTTTCTGTATTGTTTGGGGCATGGCGGGCGTCATGGCTCCCCCCGCCCCCCTAGGACATAACGCTCCCCCCCAGTGCGTTCCGGGCATTGTCGCTGTGCGCGTCGTAGTCCGCATACGCGTCCGCATAGGAGTTCGTCGTCGTCGTCTTCTCCGTCGTCGTCGTCGTTGTCGCTCGTCGCTCGTCGCTCGTCGCTCATCGTCGTCGTGCGCGCGGACGCAGCTGGAGCCTGTTTTTTGTTTCCCCGCGTCGATGACGGCAATCAATTGGGGTGGGGTGGAAAGGGCTGGTGACGTCACGTTTCGCGCCGGCCGCGCGTGGGAATGCTTACGAATCGCCGGGGACGGGCAGCAGCAGTATGTCGGTGGCGATCTGCACCGCAAAGCCTGCGTACACCATGGCGCTCGCGTGCACCACAGCGCCTGGGTTCACCGCGCCGCCTATGTACACCACATCGCCCTCGTGCGTCACAACGCCAGTGTGCGTCACAGTGCCTGCTGGCATCGCAGCGCCTGTGTAGACCACAGCGCCTGCGTACACCACATCCGCCGCGCGCAACACAGCACCAGTGTACACCACAATGCCTGCGTGCACTCAGCGCGGCAACCATTATGCGGTGCACGCTGAAACGCGCATGTGCGATGTAGTGCAGGCCCGCGTGACAGGGGGAAGGGTGAGGGGGGAAGAGGAGGACGAGGAGGTGGAGGAGGAGGACGAGGATGAGGAACATGAGGAAGAGGCGGAGGTGGAGTAGGGAGGAGGGAAACATGTCGCATTCCATTATCAGCAGTTCCCTGGCGTGGCGCTTGGCCGTCCGCAGCAGATCGTCACCAACACCGTCTGTACCTGTCGTCTGCGCAATTTTGTGTACACCTGCGCTGCGTTGCGCGCGGATGCTGTGGTTTAGTAGTGTGCACATGCGCTGCGGTGCACGTGAGCATTGTGGTGTAGACAGGCGGTGTGTTGCGCATGGCTGCTGCGGTGTACACGTTCGCTGTGGTGTACACCAGCGCTGTGGTGCGCGCGAACCTCTGGTGTACACAAGCGTTGCGTTGCACACGGCTGTTGCGGTGTACGCAGGCGCTTTGGTGGACACATGCGCTGTGGTGCACGCGAGCAGCGTGGTGTACACAGGCGCCGTGGGGCAGATCGCCACCTACATGTTGCTCGCGTCGTCGTCATCGTCGTCGCCGCTCGCCGCTCGTCGCTCATCGCCCGCGTGCGCGCGGGCGCGGTTGTGGTGCCTAACGTCATGGGGGGGGGCGTAACGTCATACCCTCCCCCGCCCCCCCCCATGACGCCTTTCATCGCCGATGATACAGAAACGCGTTCCCGAGGCCATCCTGAAACGGCTGGACGCTTTCACTGGCCAGCGTCAGGACGACGAGATGCGGAAAACAGGCCGTGAGTGCCTGCGCGGCTCCCAGCGGCGGCAGGGCGGGATTTTGAGCTGTTATGCGTCGCGCGTGGGTCAGGTCTTCGACCAGTTGGCAGCGCAGGGGCTCGACTTCGGCAGCAAGTGGCGCCATTCTTTTTTTCATCGAGGAGGGGGTCGGGGTCGGTCTCGACGATTCGGGCCGCCAGACGCTCAAGATTTTCAGCGGGGACACAGGCGAGTGCATGGACCTCCGGCAAGCAGCGCGCGATACTGGGCATGAGCAGGTATGAGATGCTCGCACAGGGGTCCGGCGCCAAAAAGACCTTCCTCGAGCGCGAGGGCGCGCCGCCTGCTCCGACCTTTGTGCAGCGCGACGACGTCGACTAAAGTTGGAGCGTATCGCGCACGAACGCAGAATTGGATATTTGCATCCCCATGACGATCGAATCTTACAGAGATTGTAGTACCGACGGTCTTAGCAGAGCTGTCGGCGGAGAAGAAGAACACATGGAAGGATAACAAGGAGTACGAACGGCGCTGGAAGGTGAACGGGCGGTTTTTCCCGACGGTTTTTTGTCCGAGTGGGTCTCGAGACCGAGAGACCAGCGGCGAGAGCATCAAGGCCAGGACGTGCAGTGGCGCCCTCGGAAAGAACGGCTTTCGCCACAACGCTGCATGAAGGTCACGAAACGCCACATTTGTTTACAGAAAGGTCACTGGGCCAGAGAGCGTCCGAATCCTCAGGCGACGGATGGCCCCCAACAGTTCAGCGGCTTTGCGATGACCAACGCTGGTGCCTCGTCCGGCCTCGCGCTGATGACCAGCCACCCGCGCGAGCCGTTCGCCGACCTGAAGGGGCCAGGACCACGACCAGCAGGCTCCAGGACTCCCCCCCTCTCCTTTCTGATCACCGACGGAGGCGAAATCATAGTAGATATAGCCGTTGGGCAAGGTCGGATCGGTCCAGCATCGTTGCAAAACGTCGGCGTTCGCCTCGCAGTGTTAAGATGCCAGTTTCCCAGGGCCCCCAGGTTCAACCGTTCGGCCTGGGGAGTCGGGAGCAAGACCGCGGCCCTCGCGGGACTCCTGGCGCCCGCAGGAATCGAATGCCACGACGGCATCATGGAGCTTGCGTCGATCAGTGAGGAGGTTGAGGCTTTGATGCCAGTCGGCACGCAGGACACTTCAGGAGCTACCATCAATCACCGGAAGTCGATTGAGTTCAAGCATTTGGGTGCGATGACCCAGCTCAGGAAGCCCCCCAAGGTCGGCCGCCGAACTGAAGGTCTCGCTTGATCAAGATCTGCCCAGAGCTCCGGAGAAATGTGCAGTTTGCTTAGCTTCTCCAGCCTCATCCAGCTCCCGCAGGGCCTCCAGGAACATAACCTCCTGTCTGTCCAGCTTATCCAGCAGTCCGCACTGAAAACATGGAGCCCCCAGAAGCATAACCTCCAGTCCGCCCGGCTCATCAATCGCGCGGCACTGACAGCATTGGCTAAGGGGTTCAAAGCGGGGGCCGTAACAAAACGGAAGAACGGCGGGCGGGGGCAGCGCGGCCGGGCGAGGCTCGGGAACATGCGCCAGAGCGCTCCAACGCGTGGGACGCTCTCGAGATCCATTGCGCCCCCCACCCGTCCGGGGGCGCGCCGTTTCGCCCGAGCTCTTTCCAGTGCAAGCGCGAAGCCTTCCTTCTCGACCCCGGCCAGCCCGCGGACGCGGCGGCGCCGGTGCATGTGCTGCGGTGGGCCCGCGTGGTCTCCCTGGCCCTCGGAGCGGAGGAGAGTCTCGGGATGTCGCTGCTGGAGATTCTCCGCCGTGGCAGGTTGCGGCCGTTGGCGACGCCCCGCCGCCGGCGCCACTTCGCGCTCGAGATGCCGCGGTGTCGTCGCGATCCGCCGAAGCGGCGGGCGGGGGCCATTTCGTGCGCGGCGCGGATCGAGCGCCTCGTCTGCGACTTCCGCCCGGCGTGCTGGAGCAGGCCGAAGGCCCAGTTCAAGCCCTGGAGACCCCTGCCATCAAGGACAAACCAGCAGGCGATCGGGGGGCGACCCCGGCGGGTCCGATGGAACAGTGGCGCTGAACATCTGCCAGTGCTGGGAGAGCCAGGATCGCACGCGCCAGCTGATGCAGATCTCTGTGTCCCTCAATAGTTCTGGGGCCCCGGACTACAGGTACACCCCTCCCCCGGACTACAGGCAGGACTACAGGTGCCCCGCCCCGGACTACAGGTGCCACCCCCGGACTACAGGCACCCCTCTAGCCCCCGGAATTACAGGCCCCCCCGGAACTACAGGCCCCCGGAACTACCAGTACGTGGCTGTGACCTAAGCAGACACTGCAATCTCTGGAAAGATGTCATTGTCATGATACAGAGTGTCTGTGCGTGCGCGCGTGTGCGTGCGCATGTGCTTGCGTGTCCGCGCGTGCGGTTCAGCGCGGTTGCGCGCGCGCGTGCGCGCGAGCGTGCGAGTCTGCGCGTGCATGCGCGCGCGGGGGCGTGTCGCGTGCAACGATGCGCGCGAGGTCCCGCGCGCGCAAGTACTAAACACCCGCGCGCAAGTACTAAACACCCGCGCGCGTGGAACCGCGCGCGCTTTGAGGCGTGACCAACTGCCCCCCCCCCCCCCCCAGACTACAAGTGCCCCCACGCGCGCGCCCCCCTCCCCCCCCCCCCCCCCCCCCCCCCCCCTCCCATCCCGGATTACATGCCCCCTTCCCCCCCCCCCCCCCCGGACTACAGCCCCCCCCCCCCCGCCCCCCCTCCCTTCCCCCGGACTGCAAGCGCCCCCCCCCCCCCCCCTTCCCCTTCCCCTTTTCCCCCCCCCCCCCCCGGACTACACGCGCCCCCCCCCCCCCCCCCCCCCCCCCCCCCCCCCCCCCCCCCCCCGGACTGCAAGCACGCCCCCCCCCGGACTATAGGTGCCCCCCCCGGACCACAGGTGCCCCCAAAATTGTTGAGGGACGCAGTGAAGCTCGCCATGGTCGACGCCTCGAAGGCCCCGGCAGTCCCGAAGACGGCCGTGCCAGAGGCGCTGAAGCCGCACTAGGCGCCGACGGAGGTGGGCGAGCTGGCCCAGGCGGAGAGGGGGCCGCCAGCGCCAGACGGTTCGAGACGCTGGCCGAGCTGAACGGGCCATCGAGCAGCAGAATGCAGCACGCAGCAGCGCGGCCGCGTCCTGGATATGCTCCTGACCAAGGGCAAGTCGAGCTTCGCGAGGGGCCCCGAGCGGGGGCAGCATTAGCGCGCCATCGCCTCGCTCGAAGCGCCGGCGGCCGACGCGTTCAACGCCCTGGGACGTGCGAGAGAGGATGTGGAACAAGCGCCGGGAGAAGGGGCGCAGGTGGGTTATTTTCAGCTGTTCGGGCGGGCGGCCGCTGGTTCTGGTTCTGTTCGGGGAGCTCCCTCAGCGGCCTCTCTTTCAATGGGGCGCGCCACCTGGCCGCGCGCCAGGGCGACTGGAGGTCGGCCGCGCAAGACAGCGATTTCAACGACGATTTCGATTCCGCGATCTCGAAGAGATCGAGTTCAGGGAATCGCGCCAATTCTGCGCCGAGTATCT